GTAAGCAAATGAGGTTTCAGTGTGCTGCAGATGTGACTCTCTGTGTCTCTTTGGGGACGGACATTGACAGACTGGCAACTGTGCTGTGTAATGGTATTCTAGAGAGAGCACTGCCCTCATTAGAGCAGGGCTAGGTGTTAGAATGCTACTTTAAAATCAGTAATTGACTTGTAAACCAAATGTTTTAATATGAACTGACAACATGCTCTGTATTGAAATCTAACTTCTGTCCTGGTGACATTTTTCCTAGGACTGCTGTTTGATAGTATATCATCCTTATAGACCTTTGCTCCAATATGTGCAAGATATGGGCCAAGAAGACATGCTGCTACCTCTTGCATGGTAATGAAGACAATGGGAGTAGTTCCTCCTTTCATCAAGAAAGCAAGTGCTTAGCAGTTATGCTTCAAAGGTGGTTAAGCTTTTGCTGAACCAAGCAGGCTTAGCCATATTTGAATAGAAAGGGTGCCCTAGTTAACCTGGGCAGGTATATGTCCCTGAATTAGCTTATTCTCTCTTTAGCCCTATAATTATTTTACTTTGCAGTGGTCTAATTTTTATTTTGTTAGATTAGCTCTAATGGCAGAGTTTCAACATTAGTGAATGGTGACTACAAGTAGAGGAAGTTTCTTTCTGTCAACATTGTCATAGGAGGTTTGTAGCTGCATTTCTTTTCCCAGATAAAAGCAAGGCACAACTTCCCAGGGATATTTCTGGGATTCACATTCTCTCAACCTCAGAGAAAGAAAAAAACAATTCTTATCTCAATTGCTGCTCCTCTTGTTGTTCACAAGTGGAATTCATTGTGGAAGATTGTTTACCTGAAGGGAATTTGTAATTGGATTCTGGTGTGTTTTGATTCACTGACCAGTTGAATCCACATGTGTGTGGGGACTGTTGACTGACAGTCACGAGATTCTGGGCAGTTGAGTTGAGGGAGTGCCTGTGCAGGTTCAGTTTAGATGTAATGTAATATAGTATAATAAAGTAATTAATTAGCCCTTTTATATCCATGGAGTCAGATGCATCATTTCTCCCAGATGTTGGGGGTTGCCCTGCTTTACAATAGAGGTAGAAGGAAATATATAGGGTTTTTTAGCTGTGTTAGCAGAACTCTTATTCTTCAACTGTTTCAAATACAGAAAGACAGTAGAAGTACTACTTTTATGCTAGTCTTTACTTATTTGTGAAACAGATAATTATTTGGTGGTATACATACACATCCACTGCAGAAAGACATTTATGTACTAAAAGAATGTTTCCAAATAAACTTCTGCTGTGACTATAAGGGGAAAAAACAGGCTTTAAGAGATTTTTACAAGGGAAAAGATCTTTCCTTGATATTTTGCCCTGCAGCCTCATTGCTTTGACCATCTGGAAAACTGACAAAATATTTGTAAACCAACAGCAGTTTTTGAAGGAATATAGTCTAATGGTGAATAGGAAGATACTTACAAGTTCTTTTTTGCACAGGAGGATAGTGAATGACACATACAGAACTGATCTTTGTCTGCTGTACCCTCCTTTCATGATAGCTCTAGGTAAGTAACAAGTAATGTCTCCTGGTCATGTTTACCTGTGCACTGCCTCATCACAAGCATCCCTCAGAGTGCCCTCATAAGGTGCTTCAGGTTGTGTCTCATTCAGCACTGACACTGTAGCCTTGCAACTTTAAAAGCCTTAAAGAAAAGTCAGATAATTAATCCTGAGTTTTCTTTGTTGAACTGTATAGGGTTTATAAAAAATGGAATGTTTCTAACTGTATTGGGAGTGCATCTTTATTCAGTATCCATGTCACCTATCTTTGCAGCTTGCCTACATGTGGCCTGTGTTGTCCAGCAGAAGGATGCAAGGCAATGGTTTGCTGAGCTGTCTGTTGATATGGAAAAGGTACTCTTGTTTTTTATTCCCACCACTTGTTATGGACTGACCAGAAATGGTAGTCATGGTTGTCTTACATATCTGCAATACTGATTTGAACTTAAAATTCAGTGCTATTGTTAGATGCTGTTGCACTTAGGCAAATCTCTTTGGAAGGGAGACAATGTCAGGTCATTTGGTTATCACCCTGCTCTGAAAGTCAAGACAAAACCACTGCATAACAGAAGAGCATTGCTGGTACTGCCATTTTCCAGACCAAAATATAAACCCAATATCTTTTACACTGTTTGCCAGAAAAAGGATTCCCAGTGTTTTTCTGTCACACAAGATTGTCAGTATGAGTTTGACTTTTAAGTTCATATGCATGTGATGTTCTGATTCACTTTTCAGCATCATGCCAGCACACCATTCTCATTTCCTCCCTGTACCTGTGCAGAGTATAGCATTGTGTAGAACATTTTTGACGCTTTAAGGATGCCCAGCACTGTGACTTCAATCAGTGCTAAGCAGGGAGACACCAAGATCATTCAGTTGAGTTCCCTGCTAATGCAAATTCTGTGTCAAATAATCCCCTTCAGTAATTTATTAGGTTTATTAGGTTATTTCAGGGTGCAGTTGTCCCTATACTAGCAGTGCTCTTAATCCTCACTAGTTTCTTTTACTTTTCAGGTTGGCTTCTTTAACCTTTATTTAGCTCCAGCAAGCAAATTGAAGTAGTAGTCATACTCCTTATCACACTAATCAAAAAGCTAATTAAATGCTTTTTGGACCAGATTAAGTGTGAGACAGCTCTGTTTATAATATGAAAATTGTGTTGCTTAGTTTCAGCTTGGGGCCTGTTTAGTTAATAGCACAATTAAATGGGCTATGACAAAGGTGAAATCACTGTTGTGGCTGACCTTAGGCTCTCTTTTCTTTCTAATACAGATTTTAGAAATAATCAGGGTTATTCTGAAGCTGTATGAGCAGTGGAAGAACTTTGATGAGAGAAAAGAGATGGCTACTATTCTTAGTAAAATGCCTAAACCAAAACCACCTCCAAACAGGTATGGTACTTCCTTATTGCACCTTTCCCATGGAAAAACTACACTGTGATCTTAAGAATGTGCAAATGTTTAATTCAAGGTGTAGTGTCTGTTTTTACAGCCCAGATGTTTCTGATACAAAACCAGCCTGTTTGTTCAGGAGCCAGTGGGAAGCATAACATTCATTATCTTAGAGAGAGTGTTAATGTGATTAGAATGTGATCAATGCAGCTCAGCAGATTAAGGAACCCCAGTGAGAGGCTCCATGGCTGGGCCAGATTCAATGGAACCGGGCCTGCTTGGTGTCGTACCTAATTACTGTGATTAAATATCACTGCTGGGAATCTGCACATGCAGATTCCTGTGCACATGCTCATGGAATGTGAACTTTGCAGTGTTGACTTCAGAAGCAGGCAGCTTCATGGGCATATATTGAATTTATTATTCACATAAATATGGTGAAGTTATTTATGCATGCTGAGAATAACCTTTGCATTTTTTTATGAAACTGAGCAGAATATTTTGACCTATTTATGTATATGTTGAAGTATTTTCTTTCCAAAGATTTTTATTATTTTCAGAATACTGTATTTTTTAATTTAAAAAAAGATAAAAATGTAATGTGGTGCTTCTTTTTGAAGATACATGTTTTTGTTTTATTCAACAGTGAAGGAGAACAGGGTCCAAATGGTAGCCAGAACTCTAGTTATAGCCAATCTTAAGGCATTCCAAAGAATTTCTTTATGGACCACTTTGACTCAAGACATCCTGGGATATTTCCTGTGTTCATGAAATGGACAGAAGGTTTTAGTAACATCTTTGACAAAGAACTCGAAGAATAAATAGCTTGTTTGTGTCAAGCATTTTGAAAGCTTTTTCTCTAAAACTACATCGTTTTCTCTGACGCTGGAACAAATGTGCTAAGATTTTTTCAGTGTAAGGAATCAAACTTTAAACCAAGCTGCAAAAGATTAATGTTTTTCACTCAAAACAAATAGTTTATTATTGGTTTTGTGTTGAAGTGAACTGTTTTAGAGCGACAGTAACCTGAGGCCTAAGTGTAACTGTATTAATGACTTGTGTTGTCTTCATTTTGCTTGTGACTGAAGGAAGATCGTGCACTCTGTGTTGAATCTATCCATTACCTTCAGTTTTGTTGATTAAAAAAAAAAAATAAATACAGATTCCGCAACAAGTAACACAGTCCTTCAGAAACAAATGCCTAGAAAAGCCTGTAAAGAATATTGTTACAGTTCTAATGAAAACTGCAGGAAAGAAAGTCAGTTGCTATTTTTGGGTTTAAAAAAGCTGTATTCCTCAGTAGATCTACTTGGTTGTTTTTGCCATGATACAGTAGCCCAGCTTGCCAGAGAAGTGCAATATGTATAGTGATTCTGCAGTTTTCTGAAACATTTCAAGTGTTAGAAATTAAGACAACCCAACATACTAGGATTTTTTTTTCAAATAAATGTCCTATATGGTACAATCAGAATATTTCACAATCAAGTACAAATCTGGATATTATTGCTATTTTTTATGGTGGATTTTTTTTTTGTAGAAAAGATATACACTGATAGTCTGCCTTCACTGTTAGTGTGAATTTGTGTGGTTCATTAGAGAGTTTATTTAAGAGGATCAAGTGTTTGGTGAGCTTCATACTGGCTAATTTTAATTGGGATGTTAGGAGCAACTCTAGAATAACTGAAATGGGATTCCTTGGTTACCTTTGTGCTGGAGAAAATGAGATTTCTTCAAACAGAAGGCCATATCCTGCATTCCTCACTCAGGAAGATATCCCACTGAAGACAGGAATGGGCCTTAATTGATTACTTGATATTTTAGATAACTTTGTTTCTAACTAAGTTCTGTACAACTTTATTTTGAATGATGATGCCAACTTGCCCAAGTATAAAAGTTGAATGATAAAGTTCAGTAAAGTTCAGTAACATTGTTCTCTTTTGGTTTTTTTTGGTTTGTGGGTTTTTTTTGTTTGTTTGTTTGGTTGGTTTTTTTCTTTTTTTTTGTTTCTTTTCTTTCTTTTTTTTTTTGTTGTTTTTTTTTTGTGGTTTTTTTGGGTTTTTTTTGGTTTTTTTTTTTTGGTTTTTTTTTTTGTTTTCCTGGAACAACACATTTCACTGCTTTGAAATCCTGGAGGGAGATGAAAAATGTGTGCTCTGTGATGTGTCTTGGTTCAAAAAACTGGCCCCTTAAAAAAATCCCCAGCTGTTTTTGCAAATACCTGTCTTTGTAATTGACTGGTCATCCAGTGAAATATAACTGAAGTGTTCTTCTATGTAGCCCATTAGGCTACTAGCATTTATTTCTGTTCAGGTTATTTCCATAAACCATTATGTGAACCAACCCCAGATACTTTGGTGAGGTGGAAAAAATATACATTTTGGTCTTTGCTACTTGGTTTCCATTTGATCCATACTTTTTATAGACACTTGATTGATGAAGTGGAATTTGGCTATTTTGCTTTCATTTCTTGAAGTCTAAAATGTGCGATTTGTAATGTGGACTTGGGGAACAGAAATAAATCACAGCAACTTGACCTTTGTTGTGTGGAGTAATTAAACAGGAACTGTTCTTTAGGTAAGCATCAGTCTTCTCACATATACCGTGTAATCTGCCAGGAAAGTTCATGTTTTGGAATTGGGGAATTAATTAAGAATTCTGGCTAGAGTGGTTAAATATTTTCTTGCTGCTGAAGAGTCTTTGCAGACTTTACTTCACACCTAAAGCACAATTGGACCTAAATCTCAGAGCTAAAATGTCAGGCACTTCTTGATGGTACCTAGAAGTTTCTTAAAGCAATTCTCTACTGGGATGATGAGGCTTTGATTCCAGTAAAAACAGTGAAAGGCAACAAAGTGCAGTCAAAAGAGCTGGATTCAGTGAAGAGAGTTTTAAAAAGATGTAGTTTTGAACAGCAGGAAATGGAACATAATGTGAATTCAACAGTCTTGCTACTAAGCATGCAGAATAAAAATCACCTTTCTTGTGCTTCACTTCAAAGGAGAGGTGCATAAAAATGTGGAAAGACAGGTAGCTGAAACTCTTCACAGATTATATGGCAACAGGTGACTCTGAAGTGTCAAAGCAAACACAAGCCATCTATGCCAAAAAGACTTAAAGAAAAATCCCAAAGGAAAGAAACTGGATCAGACAAGGTATTTAACTCAAACCCAATCATTTGGAAAGCAAATTAGAAAGGATCATCTAATTTCAAAAGCTACAAATAGTTTGAGAAACATCTTGCATAAAAACTACCATGATTAATAAAAAGGGAAAATAAAAAAGAGGGATACAGTAATTTTCCAATTATTAAAAAAAAACAACCCACAGCTACTCAGTTCAGAATAGACAATAGGTGTAGAAAAATCACAGGTGGTGAGAAGACTGATAGGTGACAACTGCTCACTTCAGACAGAAGGAGCCAGAGCAGCTGATGAATACATGACAAGTTGGGAAGCAACAAAAGGAAAGATTTCTCACCACTGCTCTGTCTGATGGGAGTTTCTGTTGAAAACTTACAAATACCCAAATATACTGAGACATGCAAAGCCTGGAGCACTCTGAGTTGTAAATGAGAGTAATCTGGAGATTGTACCACTACATACTAATCCTGCTTTTATACTTTTCCTCAGATGTTTATTACCAGTTGCTGCCAAACAGAAAATAATGGGCTAGATAGATCTTGGGGTAACACAGAATAACTTGTTTATTTTTTTGTGGTTATGTAGTTTTAGGTGTTCCCAAGAAACATTAATTTAGCTACAAAAGGAAGCATTGGCTGCTCATGACTAAGTACTGACTAAGTTGATTGGAGTGCCTGGCTTTATTCATTTGTATGCTGAAGTCTGGTGGCTTATCAATACAGCTAAGCATGATGAATTGTACATTTAACTAAATCATGAAATCCTCTAGACACTCTGACCCTAATGATCTTCAAAAGGCATTGTTAGTCCTGGTGAGGCCTGGCACAACAGAGCCAGCAGCAGGTTTCTGTTGTCCCCCTGACCCCTTGATACTAGAATATCTGCAGTTTGACTATTTTAAACCAACTTCCCAACACAGGTATTTGAGAAATAATAATTTTATTTGCCTTATCATCCTTAGTTTAAACAGTCATAAACTACATTATACAAAAAAGTAAACACAATTTGCACTTAGGTTCTCTTCACATGCATTCACCAAAACCATAACCTGAATAAAGGCTGAAAGGTTGAGCAATTTAATGTCCTCTGTTTGTGTCATAGTCTTTGGGTATAATTCAAACCAAGCAGTTGCTATGCATGGCTGTTTGAAGGTGAATGTCCATTTACACAAGGAGCCAGGAGTGAGCTTTATTATGGAAGCAGAATGCATGTGGTTTACTAAAACCTCCAAACCATCCTGAAGCCTTGACTGGGTAAGGGGTGGGGCTGTCATCTTCATTTCTTTTCTGGAGGTTCATGTTTTACCCAGTCATCAAAGCCACCACCATAATGCTGAGCTCTGAAAACATGCAGAAGATACCTTTCTCAAGGAGAGTCCTCAATATTGTCTCTTAAAGAGGAACATAGCAAAAAAAAAAAACCCAAAACCAAAAGTAAAAACTAAACACTCAAAACCCCACAAACAAACAAACCCCTACAAAACCCAGATGAAAATAAAGAGAAGACACAAAAAATCTCTGCAACCATATACATTTGTACCTAGCTTCAATGAGCCAGAATGACATTCCTTTTACTCTAAGGCTGCTTTCATGCAGTGAGTTCTGTAACTCTTTTCTTCCATACTACAATGTTGGAATTCAAACATCAAGAAAGAAATAGTAGCTGGATCAATGAAACGGTTGCCAGTTCTTTTTTAAAAGAGTGAGAAGAGAGTCTTAGCAGTGGGAGATGTACACATCTATTTATTATGTCTAATACTTCACTTGTCACCAAATAAACCCTGCACACTGATCTTTACTTCCTTGCAAACCTACATGCTCTATAGGTCTGACATCAACCTGTGCAAAACTAAACTCTGTAAAACAAAAATCCACTATGCAAAACAATATTGACTCCTTCAATTGGGCATCATGAAAAACAGGTAATGGAGGATATTTTTCACTCTGAAACAAGAACATGCTTCCATACTTTTGACTAGAATTAATGTAAGTGTTCTTGTTCCTGAATTGCAGTTCAGTGAAAACATGAGCAAATAACCAATGTCTTAAATCTTATATGCATTCTTCAAGACAGAGAGACACCTTCCAAAGATAGGTTTAACAATTCTGCAAACCAAATGCTGCATTTCACTTTATCATCATCTCATTGTTTTGTCAGCTATTGCCTTCACTGCTTTACTCCTGGCAAATAATCCAAAGCTTTACAGGAAGTGAAGGCATCCTTTGGCAACAGTGACCTGTAAAGGTGGAACTGCAATCCAACAAAGGGTGTGGTTTCTCAAGCTATTATTTAAGACTGTACTACTACCAAAGCAAGCAGTTCTCTGCCCTTACAACCTTCCTGCATCTCAGGACTAGTGCTTATGGAGCTCTTTAAGGAAGAAACATCTCAGCAAGGGAGCCCTAAGAGGCAGAAGGACCCTTCAGTGGCAGTGTGGTCTTGCTGCAGTTTGTGTCACCAGTGGCACATGTGCAGAGCTGCTCAAGGGTTGTTTCAGAGGGTGGTACACCTCACTTTGCTGCAACACCCAATGGCATCTCCAGGTTCAGTGGAGACAAAAGGAGGTGTCTAACTCAAATACCAATTGTTTTGTTCATATTCCATTTGTAAATTTTTACCCTTGCACACAAGGTGAGTACGTGTTCTGCTTCATGGGGGAAGCAGCATTAATCCCATATTTACACACAAAGTCATACCTGCTGAAACCCAAGGACATGGCAAAACCAAGTGCTTGTTTACTTCTTGTTCCTGCCAAACAGGAGAAAACCACAGGGTCTGACTTGGATGGCATTTTTTGATTATACTGCTCCTTGAAATCCGTTGGGTCCATTTGTAGAGCTTCCGTTAATTCACCCACTGGGAAATACAGAAAACAAGCTATTGTTTATTCTCCATCCAAAGACAGGTTTACATGGTTTACAAGACTTCTACCCCTCTGGAGGAAAAGTTCAGCCTCATTACATGCCAGCAGCTTTTTAGCAGCGTTCCTCTTTGCTCAGTCACCACCACCTGAGCATTCCAGCCAGGAGGAACACGGAACACCCGGCGCCTGCACACAGCGGCGCTGACAACTTACGCGGTATGTTGATGGACTCGGGGATTTTTCCAAACCTGTCGATCTCCCACCTCTCCCGCACGTCAATGTGAAGCACGTTGGCCTTCTTCAGGTCTTTGAGCTCCTGGTAGGACAGGCTCGGCG